CTACTGGGCACTAACTACTTTGATCCAACTCCCAGTTCCTCCAGATTTCAGTTACCTCTCAGAGAAAAGTGTCGTCAGATCCACGACGGAGTTCATCGCAGAAGCTGGACACAAAGGTTTGTGACATCTGCAGAGCTCGTTGTGTTTGAAGCTGTAACTCTGTAACATCCTCTCTCTGGGCCCAGGTCCTCAGGCCTCCCATCCACACCTGGTTAAGACCGCCCTCACCGCTTTGGCGTCAGTCGGCGCCTCTTTCCAGTATCCGCCCATCAACTGGAGCGCCGCTCTGTCTCCTTTAATGAGGATGAGCTTTGGTAAGAGTTGTCGCTCAGTGCTGTCCGTGAAGCACAGCCACAGATCCTGTTCAGACTGTGTTGTTGTTGTGTTTTGTAGGAGAGGATGTGCAGCACCAGTGTGTTGTACTGGCAGCCTGTCAGACCCAGTCCTCCCACAGCGCTGCTCTCTTTTTGGGCTCCTGGTTGTCCCCTCCCCTGGTCCACAGTCTCAGTGTAAGTCCAGTTGTGTATTAGCGCTGTGACAGCTGATATTCAGTTCTCCATCAGGTGTATAGGCTGGTCCACTTTAATCTGTTGTTTCTGGTGTCCAGCTTATATTTGAACAGGTTTCTTTAGGTGTTCTTAACAGAAACAGCTAACAGGAGCATCTCAGCCTCACCTCTGAGCTCAGCTGCTTCTCCGTCGTACAGCAGCTGAATAAACGTCTGAATAAACAGCGTTTGGCTTCTGAAGCTGAACAGATGCTCTTTAACTGTGACACACATGCAGTCTGTCTCTGCACTGCTGTAGGAGAGCATGAGTCCAGTACCTGCTACAATGATGAAGGCTTTGAGATCCTTACTGGCTGTCTGTCTCCCCCAGTACCAGACCCGGGCCCACCTCTATGAGACTCTGGGCTCGTGGATGAAGCACGTGACTGAGGACAAGCTCCAGGTGTATGTGGAGAGTTTGGGGCTGCAGCAGTTTCAGGAGGACCTCCGACCCCAGCGCGCGTCCCTGTGTGGCTCTGTGCTGCGGGGCCTGGCTC